TATATTTTAGTTGAGGTTGGTATAAAAAATGTTAATAATATCACGACCAAGTCATAAAATATATAAGTAGCTCTATGTTAGTTGTATGATAGATTAAAATTATATCATTCCTCTTTTCTGTAGATTAAAATATATGAATAATTTCAATTTTTCTTCCTAATCTTATCATACACGTATAGTTTTATATATACAGAAAAGAAAAAAAAAAGAAAAAAAAAACAGATAAGGCTGTTTGCAATTCATTTTTTTATTGCCAAAAATACCATCAGCTTCATAATGAGAGTTTAGAAGTTGTTAAGCCATATCATTTTTACCTCTTTTACTTCTTGTTCGGTGACACGACCATCTTCGTTCTTGTCAACCCTGACATGTATAATTAATTAAAATTACTAAATCAAGGTGTTTAACTAAAATAAAGTATTGCTGTAAAACATAAAATAACAACTAAAAAGAGTATATATGATCGCATATTATTACCTTTTATTATAAATTTTACAAAATACTCATGGTATGATTCAATTATTTCCTAGACTTAAGAAGATTTTAATTTTAAATTTGTTCCAGAATAATATAATTAATTTAATAAATAATAAATTGACACGATAACTATTTAAAAAAATATATATATATTAATTTATGCCCTTTATTTTAACTAAAAAATATTCCAAAGTTCAAACGTTAGAAAAATTTATGTGCTAACTGCTAAACTGGTGCGAAGCTAATATACATTTTTTCTGTTGAAAATAATTAAGGGAGAAAAAGTACCGTGATCCTTCTTTGAAAAAAAGAAATTAAGATCATAATATGCTATGAGTTCTTACATGTTGAAGAAGATCTGGAGCCTGGAATCGAAACTTTGATCTGTAATTTGCAACCAGAACTCGAATAGCTCGTCTCGACTAATTCGATCGGAGTTCTGAAGTCTTCGCCTCCGACTTAGAGCATCGAACAGCTCGAGAGCAAACTCCTTCGAATCTTTCATTCCTTTCAAATTTAAAAGGAAAACAACTAAATCAATTAAAAATTCCACAAAAAATACTGAAATTACCTGTTTGCAGCCAGTTTATACCTATGCATTGAGCGAAATCGACGCGGCTTAGAAAACCGTCCTTGGCAAGCTTATTGAAGTTACTCTCAAGTTCACTACACGTATGGATGCCCCTCGTTTTATTATTGCCGCTTATGAATCTTAATCCATAGAGAGCCTTCTCAGCACCGGAACGAGTTCGATCAAGCTTTGCTCGTTGCCTCCTTAAATCTCTAGCCGCTAAAGCCGAATCCATTCCGTTTTCTGCTCCAACATCACTGTTCGTGTTCACGGTTAACGATGACGCGGCAAATGCCTGAGACGCATGGCTCCGGCTCCATGAGAACCGCCTCAATTCGGCTTTTAACTCGTGCGAAAAATTCTTCGCCTTAGCTCTCGCTTCCGCTTTGAGTTCCTGAGAAAACTGCCGAAACCGATGCGACGAACTCCGCTTCACCGACGTAGATCTCAAAATGGAAGCAGGAGTCCAAGCCGGCGTTCCAGAACCGCCAGAAACGCTATCGTCCATATTGATCACAGTCGCCGGCTCAACACTTCGAAGCACAACCGTGTTGTTTTCTTGCACATCAAGCGTCACCTCCACAAACTCCTCCGCAGCGCCGAACTGCGCTCCAAGCGACGATTCGAAGATCATCGTGTCAAGTTGTGTAATGTCGTCCCATCCGCATCGGCACTCCTGCTCCGCAGTTGTGGTCATTGATTCATTAGCAGACCGAAACGTGCCTGCCAGGTTGTGAAACTAATTAATCATTAACAGTTGACGAACGCTCCCGTGCCGTCGTCGTCAACTGTCCGCCAATCGGTAGTGAGCAAAGAAGTGGCAGAGAAGGCGCGTCCGGAATCTAAAGGAATCGCTCTGGACGGAGAAGACAATGATTTTCTCCAACTAAAAATTATTTGTACCTAATCTTGCATAAACGGGAAAACCGTGGATATGCGCTGCTGTCATATCTTAATTACCATTATACCCTTGATATGGACCCATTCCATTCCAATACTCTATGCATGACACCAAGTAAATGGCGGGAGAAAAACTATTTCTTATTTTATTTTATTAATTTCTTTTCCATCTTGTAATGATAAATTTAAAATTATAAAACATAAAAAACTCAAAATATTTTGAAGCAATTTCATAAATTATTTAGTTCTTTTTGTAGCAATTTTAATAAATATATCCATATTTAGATTTTGAAGGGTTAGAATTAATTTTTAAAAACGTCGACTTTACAGCAAAGTCATGAGAGCTTATGTTTAAAGGGGATAATATCATACCATTGTGAAGAGTCGTGTTCGTCTAACATAGTATCAAAATCATCCCCTAAAACTTAGTCGTGCCAAAAGATTGGTAAATCCTCAAATGTCGAATAAATAACTCCAAAATAAAAAGGAATCGAGTCTCCTCGAAGGCATAGGAAAAAATGACTAAGTCTCTAAAGGAAAAAGGAGCCGAGCCTCGATTAAAGGGAGGTGCACTTTGTTTGAGGGGAGGTGTTGGATGATGAAAATCTCACATCCGCTAGTTTAGGAAATGATCCTGGGTTTATAAGCGAGGAATACTAACTCCATTGGTATGATGCTTTCTGAGGAACTCCAAAGCAAAATCATGGGAGCTTATGCTCAAAGTGGACAATATCATACATGGTAGAGAGTCTCATTCGTCTAACGTGAAAAACATGTTTATCCGTAATAATATTTTATAAACAATTATTCCGATATAAAAAATGGAAAAGGAAAGCTGGAGATGTAAATCTACACGTGTCACTTGCTGTGGAGATTAAGCATACACGTGGCTCATTATCACTCACTAACTGTTATTTGGTAGGATTTTAATTTGATTAAAAAAATCAAGTGAAAATAGTAATAAACTTTAGAAATGAATATTTATAATTTACAATATAAATAAAAAATATATTGGTGGCACTATTCCAAATAGAAAAATATATATTAAAATTAATTATTTTTATAAAAAATAAAAAATAAAAAATAAAAAAAACTTAAGGGGGAAACGTGGAGCCTACCGGTGATCCAGAGTCATCGTTTTCATGGAGGATCCAAGTTCCGTCCGATGATGAGAGTCTATAAATATCTGCTTCCTCTTCGAGTTAAAACACTCAAAAATTCGAAAACAAATCAACATTCAACGAACACCGGAAGGAATTAAGATGTTCTTCTTCAAATCTTCATCCGGAGCAGTGCACCAGGAATCCCAGCCGGCGAGGAGGTCAAGAGAGGCGGCGACGGCGACGGCGCGATTGTCTCACTGATGGTGTGGAGGAAGTCACTGTTACTCACCTGTAACGGCTTCACAGTGATTGATTGTAACGGAAATATCGTATACAGAGTCGATAATTACACCGGACGGCCGGAGGAAGTGATTCTGATGGACGGCCTCGGAAACTCCGTCCTCACAATGTGCCGCTCCAAGGTCAGTCGTTGTGCAACTACGCGCTTGATTTGTCTTCTTCTTCTTCTTCTTCTTCTTCTTTGTGATGAAATTGAACTAAATGTGTAACTCGCTCTGATTTTGGCGGTAATTTCTGGCGGATTGGATTCTAAATTGTGTATGTTTTGGTAAATTAGAAGCTTGGACTAGCGGAGAACTGGTCCGTGTACGTAGGGGAAGTAGGAGGAGAAACTAGGGCTAGGAAGAAACCGATATGTCGAGTGAGGAAGAACATGAACATACTACATGTCGCTCCGAATGCGAAAGTGCTCGCATACGTATACGATTACAGAACCTCGGAGAAGAAGTATGCGTACAGTGTGGAAGGTTCGTACGGTCAGCGATCGTGCAAGGTTTTGGACGCGTCGAGGACAGTGGTGGCGGAGGTGAAGAGGAAGGAGGCGGTGAAAGGCGGCGTTTGTTTTGGGGCGGAGGTTTTCCTTCTGGTGATTCTTCCTGGTTTTGATCCCGGATTGGCTATGGCTCTGGTTTTAGCTCTGTATCAGATGTTCTCTTAGAATTCCAGTTTGATTCTTCCTCTTCATCTTCCTCTTCATCTTCCTCTTCATCTTCCTCTTCATCTTCCTCTTCATCTTCTCTTGTGCATAATTTTTTTGCAGTAGCTGCGTTTTGATTTTGATCGGGTTTTTTGTAATCCTATTTTTGTAAGAATGAGCGTAATAACATTTGATTGTCTATTTCATTTTCACACAAATCTCGGCCTATATATTTATACTTTTAACCACTAATTCAAAATTAAACAAATTTGATTATACTTATATATTTTAGATATTTGCAAGGTTACACAGGTTTTTTCCACTGTGAACCGAAAACTTATTATAAATACTAGGTGCCAGCGAGTACGGTAAACCCCAAAATAATGGACAAGATAGGTTACACACGTTGTTTCCACTATGAACCGAAAACTTATTATAAGTACTAGGTGCCAGCGAGTACGGTAAACTCCAAAATAATGGACAAGAAAACTTATAATAAGTACCAACAATGTGCCAACGAGTATGATGAATTCCAAAATGGTCGACAGCAAGCTCTGTGTCAGCGAAGACTTTGGATCTCAAAGGGAGTAGATTGCGATATTCCATATTGATTGAAAAGAGAAACGAGTGACTGCTAAGCTCCAAATGTGATGGATTGTGAGATCTCGCGTAGTTGAAGACGGGAATGAGGCATTCTTATTCTTTACAAGGGTGTATAGCGGCGGACTTGGACTATTTTCCCCTAAATCATTTAATTTGTAAGGTTAAAAATCTGTCGTATTCAGCGGAAATTCAGTTTGATTCAGCTTGAAAAGTAGTCTTTCGTAAGCAGGAGCATGCGTAGGTCTTCGCCCCACTTTTTGGGCAGGTTCGTGGGTCAATGTTTTTGCCCGCCCCGACCGGCAGCAGCTGGATTTCCACTCAAATCAAAAGCAAAATGGTCGGCCTCCCGGATCTCTTCAAGCAATTCGACTTAGTTGCAAGGACAACAGAGAAGAGCACAAGCAAATAGTAATAAGAAAGAACTAAAATTTCTATTGCATTGTCAAATACTTTTCACACAGTGGCAGAGAATTTGCTACTGCGTTCTGGGATGAAGTTCGATGTTACAACAATTAGAAAGCGTGTGTCACTATTCAACCCTAACCATTACAATCATTAATCCAACACTGAAACAATATTATGTACAGCCAGCCAGCCAACCAACCAACCAGCCACTTTAGGCACTACTTCAGAGAAGTGATTCTAGTTTAATAATAAAAGCATTTTGTTAGGCAGGCAGGGATATAATAAAACTGAGTTTCTCGAGCAATCTAACCTGTTCATCCCCCTCTTTTCCAATCCATGAGCATTAACTTCCGTGTGTTTTGTTGACCCTCGCCAGCCTTGCACAAAAGAGTTGCTGGAGGAGGCATCATAGATGATGATTGTTTTATGGCACCTGCGGTTGAAGGTTTAGCTTCTGAAATCGAATCTCTAATGAACTTACTGGGTGACGATCTACTTGACCGGGGTGTAGTCCAATTCAATGGTCCTCTTTTACAATTGGTCTGAGCAACGTCTCTTCTGCTCTCTGTTGTTCCGAGCTTTGGCTTCTTCGAGGGATGAGCATGATGGCCTTCATTCTTGATCGAATTGTTGGACCACAATCCATATGTTGTAGGCGTGGTATATAATTCTTCAGTTTCCTCTGATTTCAACTTGCGAGCTCTCATGGACTTTTGTGATGCCTTTTTTGGCCACCTTACCATCCCATCTATGTTTTGCCTCAATGCAGCAGAAGTTGCAATATCGTACAGAGTTTGAGCAGCAGCCATTACTCTTGGACACTGCTGCTCTGTAGAGAAGCAATATCAATAACACAGCTAGCAAATATACAAAGTATCACACAGATAAGAAATTTGAAATTCATACCATTTGCCTCGTTATTCATCTTCCCTCGAGATTCTGTAATTAGACCAAAAACAGTGTCACGATTTAAGTAAAATGAACGATAATAGCAGAACGGTTCCAAGGTGAATATTATATCTCAATTACACTGTATAAATGCCTTCCAATAAATCCTTACCCACAAGCACAGAGGAAGTTTTCGAACAAGTTGCAGAAGACAGGGAATCCCATCCACATTGATGATGATTAACAGATATAGAGGACCTTCCATCATCAGGACCAACAACTCTCATTGTTGAAGGAAATAAACTCTGGTTAAAAGTCAACGATTCCAAGTCTTTCGTAAAACAATCAGCAGTAGCACTAGGTATATTGGAAAAGTTTCGAACTCGCCACCACCTACCAAGACATGTGGTCCTATTGGCAGAAAACTTGGATGAATCTGAATTTGCTTTAGAGTGCCCATTAAAAGAATGTGACCATGCAAATGGTTGCAACATAGCTCGACGAGATTGTTGCTTTGCTGAACGTAAATCTGTTGCATTGTTTGAAGATACAGAGGACTTGCTAGCATCCTGGAGCAAAGAATTCAAGTCCTTTGGTATAGGAAGGCCCAATTTCATGAACATGTGATCAGGTTTGTATAATTTAAAATCAAGTGCATTGGTCAAAGGTTCAGAATTGTCGCAGGCATCTTCCACCTTCATGGAAAAACAAGAAAAATGAAAAAAAAGGTCTAAATCTGAATGTAATTATAGAAAAAGAACTCCGTAATTAATATAAAATTCAGAACACTAGCGAGAATCCTCTCAATAAAGATTTGACACTTTTGCCACAGCAATTACCATAACAAAAAGAATCAGCCAAAACAGATTCCATGAGCTTGTAACAGATCTCAAATAACTAAAGAGATGTCAAAATAATTTGAAGCAACTTAATAAAAATGTGTAGTCAGCATACAGATCATAAATTTAAACCAACACACACGATGGTACAGTGAGTGTTTGGGGTTTGAGTGCAAGTGCACACAGCTACAGCTGACTTGAGAGATAAACAGTCAAATTATTATGCACTGACCTTGTTTAATGAAGGTGAATCTGTTGCACTAAGTTCTTTTACATCAAAATTCACTTTTTCTTCCATGCTTGAAACAGAACTAACTAGACTTGTATCCGGTTTGCTGTTAGAACAACTCTCTGACTCTGCCATATTTTGCGGGCGGACAGGCCATGGGAGCTGAAGAACAGAACAAGCTTTTCTAATTGACTGCAGAAAACATTCATTTACATTTGTGTCTTTTTTACCTTTGTCTTTACTTAAATTAGCATAGTCATAACTACCATTAAGAATATCGTTCAGCGGTGGATCATCCGTAAGCTTTGTAAAATCACGAGCACCTGATTTCAGCCCGTATAATCCTGCATAAAATTTCATAAAGTCCGTAAGTAATTTTATGCTGTGTAATGCGAACTCAGATGAACACAAGTAGAAAACCGATGAGAAGCATTATTATAAACAAATTATAAAACAGTGGCTTGTTTCCTTACTTATATCATAATCGTAGGTAACAACAACTAATGGATTTTAGCAGATAAACTCCTAGCAAAACTGAAAACAAGGTGAAGTTATGACCTATTAGTGATGGAAGAAAAAGAAAATCAAAGAAAGGTAAAGAGAAATTAGTTTCATTATAACGCTCATAGGAACTGGGACGCAACGCATTTTTGTAGAGAACGATATACTCAAGCTACAACTCTTGTTGAAAGACAAAGTGAAATAGGTGAATTTAAGAGAGTCACGTTCTATCTTTAGATAGGTGGCCCGTTGCACTGTGGGATGTTGCATTCAAATGGCTTCTTAGAAAGGCTATTCGTGTGATTATATCTTTCCAGGGATAACTTCAAAAGAATAAACTAACTCATATATTTACAAAAGTTATTGAAGTAACAAGCAAACCAACACATACTCATTAGAATTAGAACTGTCTTGATTTGGTTATACTTCAGTTGTCCCTCCACTTAGGTTCTGTGACAATAGTGACAAATTTTCCTCACAACAAACCAAGAATGTTTTTACCATTAGAAATTTAAAACATCTGCATTATCCAGTGGAGAACATCTTCAATACAAGTTATAACCTCCTCAAAAGACAATATAACCTGATAATGCATGTTTCTGAGCAAATTAATAAATAATTCACATGATATCATCATACCATGAAAACTGCTCCCTGCGGCAGCTGAGCCATTTCCAGCATTTGTAGAGAATGAATCAAACTTTGTCTTCAATGACACCTTGAGATTTCTCTTATCACCCCGCTTGCTGCTTAGGCTACTCTTCTGTTTCAACAGTTGAGTTTTCTCTGTATTTTTGTGGGGTATACAATAAACTAGCTTCAGTAAATTCCTGATTTCCCCTCAACTTACACAAGGAAAACATAGAAACCTAGTATAGAAAATGGAAAATGATATCCAATCTCAATCACATAAAGACAACAGATATTGCACATTATAAGCTTGCATAATAATACAGATTTATACGGGTCAAATCACCATTGTAGCACTAGTTTCTAAATACATACTAAAAAGAACATGAGCATAGAATGATTTCTTAACTTTACCAAACGAAAGCATATGGTACATTAGATTAGTCAATTAATAACATTACAAATTTGACCCGAAAATTCCCATATATCCTATAAATGAAATAACCACAAAAGTTTTTCCAAATATCCTCCTCTCTCACAAAATTATAATAAATGAAAGAATCACAACATTCAAATAAAGGCACGAAGAAGAAAAAACCACGACATGAACAAATGGAGAGCAAAGTTCACTGGATTGTCTAACATGGTCTTCTACTCATGCATCTTAAAAACAACCCACATATCATAATTTTAAACAACTGCCGGGGTGTACTTCTAAGTTTTAGATTTAATTCGTCCTACTTATTCTGAGGATAGTACACACATCATAGATTTGTTTACTTGTAGTTATGGCTAAGCGTTTGGATAGTTTTTTGCTTTATATTTTATTTTTAATCAGATTTTTGCAGCATAATCAACTCGTTTTAAAAATAAAAGCTATCATTTCCTATCTAAACTATGTAATAGATAAACTGCATGGGAAAAACACCGCCATTTGGATATGAAAAGAATAATTTAACTAATAGCAAAGGATGAACATTTATATCATATTACCATGAGAGTTGCACTTTTTAAGGTATGATCCAAGCTTATCAGATACGTCATCAGCTCCACTTAAGAACAAAGGATCTTCCAATTGAACCACACGTGGCCTCTTAGAACATAAACTACTACTACCCCTTGACACCTTTAACGGTTTACGGGGCTGTACTCCTGGACTTGAAGTGGACAAATGACTTCTTTTGTTCCTACTTTCAAAATCTTCATATGTATTTTCACCATCCTTAAAAACCGCTCCATCAGGAACCTTATCTAAGGAAACAGGACCCAAATCATTGATAGAGCTCGTCCCATCTGACATACCGACATTTATAGAACATTATATCATTAAAATATGGAAAGTGATGAAAGAGAAATGACAGATAAAGGAGATGATGAGCCAGAGACTCGGGAACATAAATTCTATAAAAGTCATCTCGAAGTGAAATAGCATGGATTATATACGATCAAGAGTGAAAATATAACACTCACAAAGTCTAAATATTCTAAACATATGACGATCCTTTCACAGATGCAGCAGCCAGAGCCAGCTATCAACATCAATCATCTATAGAAGAACTATAAAAAAGTTGCAAGCTTTTCATCAAATTTTCCGAATTCACCATATAGACCTTGTTCCATAATCAGGATTTCAGCAGACATATGCTACACACCATCCAATGAACGAATAAAGAAAATAAAGACAATGTCTCTTCTCATGCAAAATATTTGATATTTTTACTGGGACATCCCCGGAGAAGAATTTTCTCTTTATCATATTTTTCTCTTTATCATATTTCTCCTTCGAAGTAACAAAATACAAGCCCAAATGAATTCCACGTTTTGGGTAATCTGCATACTGAGTCCCAAGTCAACCTCACTCCAAATCCACTGGAACGCATTTAATAAGACGAATCTTTCATGAATAAAGATAGAGCAAAAAAGAGAGGATAAGACATCCTCCAAACGCCTGGGGTTCATATAAAGCACTTCAATTGGCAAAATCTTCCGGAACACATTTATAAAAAACAGGTAAAACGAAGTGGTGGCGGTCTTTATGGGGCTACAGAAGCTCATCGGTTTTCAACAATAAGTGACTCAAATCTCTCTATAACTTTCATCCTCTTACATACAATTCGTTCATCCACAACCAATGCGTAAAACTCCAAGCACTAAATCCATTGCCATATCTTTCGAAAAAAAATCATAATCAACAGTCTCCAAAACCTCCGGTAATAGCCAATTCGAATGCACGAGGATGACTATGCCACCGCATGCAGGTAAAAACACGAAACCAGCAACAAATCTAAAATTAAACAGCAGTATTACTAAAAAAATTACGATTATTCCACCTTTTTTACTACCGTACGAGCTGAAATGCTGAAATGAATAGCTAGGAGGGGCAGAACCGCGATCCGCCTCACACAACTCAACCTCCTCGATTGTTACCCCTGTTCTAACAGAGCCGTCTGGTCCCATGAGCTTCGACACCACCACATCAACCGGATAAGTCAATTATAGAGCATACATAACCGAAGCCCTAGCTGAAAGGAGCTACAAACCGAAGTCAATTCACAACAGCCGCCAAACATCTCTAATGACTTCAAAACTCCATCGCCAGAAAACACCAATCTGAACACAGAGAAGAACATTTGAAGATCCTACTGGGGAGACTCGAATCGGAGAGTGAATCAAGAAAAGTGAATTAGGTGCGAGAACACGAAAGGAAAATAAGAGGAAACGGGAGTGTTTAGCATGTTGCGGCTAAGAGTAGGAGAAATCAGAGTATTTTAGGGCACGAATTTGGGACAATGGTGAGTATATATAGTTTTCGGGAAAATGTGTGTCATTTTTTGGAAACGGACCATCGACGGTCGAATATTCCGTTCCGTTCTCCGTCAGTGGTCGTCCGCGAATACCCGCTTTGCGTGGAGACGGGTCTCGACTCTCGTTGTCTTTTACGGACCTTGACGTGGCATTATCCCAAATTATATAAGGATAAATTTGGCGTCCGCCCAATTATCATCCGCCACGTACTGATACCTCGTCGATAATTATAAAAATATTCTAAATAAATCCCTTGGTGTCTTACTCGCTCGCGCACACCTGTTTTGTATAATCACGACAATATTCAATATTCTTTTAAATAAAGTAACAGTTTTTATTTACATTTAATTTTATTTAATTTTATTATTTATATTACTTTTTTAGTTAAATATTATAAAGAAAATATTTAAATCTTTGACATCCTACTAAAATAATATATGTCTCTATACTTATTATTATTTTTTAGAGTATTTATTTTATTTCCATGTGATATTTCTATTTCAAGGATAATTTAAAAGAAAATAAATAATAAAAAGAAGAACTAGAAGTAAGAAAATCTTTTAGTTAATGTAATTACACGTGTTTTATCTTTTAAAAAATGTGTATTGGGCCAACTTGCAAGGTCCAATATATAGTGGGCCGAGAAATTGGAGTTTGGGCCGTTTCTGGGATTTTCAATTGCGATTTACGTGGCTCCCCGCCAACTACATCCGGAGACACGTATTTCCGATTCAGTCATCGTCAGCCTGCCACGGCCGCCTAGCTCTGCCACCGTGTCGTCTCACATGGTGAGCTCAATCTGTGGCTCACTCGCTATCTCTTCCCTTGCGTTTGTGATTACTAGGTGATTTTTGTTAGATGAACATGACTCTCCACAATAATATAATATTGTCCACTTTAAGCATAAACTCATGTGGCAGCATAATATTCCACAAGTAACAATAGAGATAGTATTAATTGATTATAAACTCATGATCATTCCCTAAATTAGTTAAGGTGAGACTTTCATCCAACAATTTTCTTCAATTCACCGTGTCATGAAGTGCCTGATTGTAGCATGCATATGGCTCGACACGCCTTTGTTGCACGGAGTCACTGCCATAGCTGTGTTGAGTTGAGCCATCTTCCGACTCAGCTACACCGGCGGATTCGATGGCTCAATCATCTAGGGGAAATTATCAAATTTGATTTTGATTGATTTAAATGTCTTAATAGTACTATGACATGCTATGATTTGTTAGAACACTCATTTTATAGACTTTAGAAAGTAGAAAAGTAAGAGGTTAAGTAGAGCTTGAACCCTGATATGTCCAAATGGTTGATTTACATACTTGGAATTGGAGTAAGCAGGTTAGGTGAACCTTATGGGCTTGAGACGGCTAGAAATGAACTGGAATTGACAACGCAAGCACATAGCTTAAGGAACATTTAAAAAAAAGAAAAAAAAATGTCATTCAAAAAGAAAATCCTCCAAACCAGAAAAGAATTCGAATGGCAAATCCATAATAACTCCCTCCATTGGCTGTTCTTCTTCAACGGACGCCACAGACATATCCAACCTCGGGTTTTCCGGCGCCGGAAACTTCTTCCTGGTGGTCCCGGCAAGGGCGTTACGGCGAGTAGGCTCAGCGTGGTTGTGCTCAGCCGTGTAGGTGATAACGAAGGCGCCGGGATCGGAGAGGCTCCGTTCAACTTGCTTTCTAGCAGAGCATCCTTTGGAGGAGCTGCATCGGTAATAGCTTCTCGGATATGGCGACCCTTTAATTGGTTTCTGTCCATATTTCCGCCATCCCCATGAATCCGAACACACCCCCTCTGCTTTCACCTCTTTCACTACTCTGTTTTGCCGACTTTTCTTGCTGATACCAAATCAAAACTCAATCAAATCCTTCAAAAGATAAAATTTTGAATCTATATTCGAAGTACCCACCTCTGTTTCTGTTTAGTTGCAGCGATTTGGCTCTTCCGATGAAGCTTTTCTGGTTCCTTAAGCTCTCTGAGAAGACCAGAAATGGCGGCGGCAGAGGCAGAGGCAGAGGCAGAGTCATCGGAGCTTCCAAACAACCCTTCAAACTCATCATACACTGAACAAGAACTTAAAAGTTCATCTTTTTCGATCAAAAAAGAGACCAAATTTGGATCTTCCATGAGCGTTGCTGTTCTTGAAGAAGTAATTGATCCATTGCATCCTTTTACAATTGCTTGCAAATCCCAATCCTCCATGGGGGCTGACTTTGAAAAGTTCAGAGTTTTGTTTGTTTAAATAATTGGAGAAATGGGATCTTGTGAAGTTGTTGTTTGGAGGTTGTTTCACACTTTAATCTGTGTTTCGTTGACTTTGTGAAATGTCAACGTGTATAAAAAGTGTTTTTTTTTTCGTTTGATGTGTGAGGAAGAGAAATTAATTATTATATTTTTTTAATATGATATTGATATAATCTTGTGTTATTTTCACACCTTTTTCTTTGATTTGTTTTTTTTTAATGATTATTTCTTTAGTTGTCCATTGTAACAAGTTTTCCACCTATAAATTATATATATATATAGGGGTTAAAAAAAACGGAATGAATTTTATTTGTACCGTTTGAGTTGAGTTATATATTTATTTAATTGATTCGTCTGATTTGAATAAATAAAAATAATTTTTTTATAATTTGAATAATTNTTTTTATTTTTTTTTTTTTATATGATACAATTCTACCCCTATATTTATTTTATTTTATAATTATTTTTTATTTGAGTTAGATAGGTTAATTAAATATTTAAAAATAAATATATAAATTTTACTTAAAAAAAAATAAAAATTTGAACATATCTTGGAACCAACCAATCAAAAATTAAAAAAAAAAAAAATTAAATCGGACCCAATTCAACTTAACCCACGAACCCTAACCCTAACAAGTACCTTTAATCTCTTATAGAGACATATAAAACATGTACTCGTTCTTTTAGCAATTCATTTAAAATTTAAAATATAAATTTATCCATTATAGGAATAATACATAAAAAAAAATAAAACATTTTAACTTAGGGTTTGGAGTGAAATTATAAATTCTTAAAACACATTAAAAGGGTTTATACTTTTTAAATACTTAGAAAGTCGTCACAATCCGGTCCTATATTATACCATTCAAACCCAAAATCTTTATCGACAACACGTCTTTACTGTTAGACGAACATGACTCTCCACAATGGTACGAAGGTATGAAGAAAAAAAAAAAAAGGAGTCAAGCCTCCTCGAAGGTACGAAGGCAGTCAAAAATGACTAAGACTCCAAAGGAGTCGAGCCTCGATTAAGGGGAGGCGTGCTTTGTTCGAGGGGAGGTGTTGGATGATGAAAGTCCCACATCGGCTAATTTAGGGAATGATCATGGGTTTATAAGTGAGGAATACTAACTCCATTGGTATGAGGCTTTTTGGGAAGCCCAAAGCAAAGTCATGAGAGCTTATGCTCAAAGTGGACAATATCATACCATTGTGGAGAGTCGTGTTCGTCTAACATTTACATGACATCGACTAACAAAAAAAGTCCCACCTAAACGAATCGAATCGAGAGAGAGAGAGATCAACATCGTATAGGTTGCTCCCACTCCCTTTGGCCTTATCCTTTTGAGTCAAAGAAACCCACTCCCAAATCCCCAACCCTACTTTTCAAGAACCTACCTTAAAAGTCAAACTTCAATTTTTATTTTCTAAAAATAATTATTATAAATAAAAAAAATAAATAATAAATAATCTAAAGTCCTCATTTGCAACTTGGCACCAGCCTTGCCCTAATCTATTGTAAAAAAGACTAAAACCTTTTAATCCCTAATTAACTCCATTTTATTAATGTTTTATTCCTAAATTTAATGTTAGGTTAGACCTAAAATAATATCATTATTATTAAATTTAAGCTAAGAATTTTCTTTGTAACAATGAATTTAGCCATTAAATATAACAATATTATTTGGTTATTAATGTTTTTAATCATTTCATAGTTTTCCACACGTTAAAGATTAATCAATTAAATAATATAATAAATATCAACTGAAAAAAGGTTTAATATATTTATACGATTTTAATAGATTTTAATAGATTTTATTATTTTATTTTTAAGATGACATCATGCTAACATCATTTCTAAATAACACCTTTATTATTTTATATACTATTTTATATTAAACAATAATATAAAATAGTATAAGTCAATCATTTAAATTCAATAATCAATATTTGTATTAAAAATTACTAAACTTACTCAAATCTAAAAATAAATTGCAAAAAAAATTATTGAATTTAGATCGGTTAAAAATTTATAACGGAGTATAAATAGCATAACTCAATAAATAAAAATATCGATTATAATTTTAAGGTTACACTCGAGATTGAGCCATTGAAGAAATTAGGATTGAAAAGGGTTTCGTGAGAAAGAGGGAATAAAGATGAAAATGGAAGAAATTAGGATCGAATTAGGAGTCACAATCATATTATATAGTTTTAATTTTTGGGTTTTAGCCCATAATATGGGCCATTTAATGTGATGTTTTATGAGAATATTATAAGAGTGTTTCATTTTCCTACGCGGAATGGACAACTTGTACAAACAGTGGCTTTGAAATGGTCTTTCTTTGCCTTTGTTTCTTTCTTAATATATATATATTTAAAGCGATTTTGAGTTTAAATAAAACTAAATTATGTTATTTAAAAAAAAAATATTAAACTCAATATTAATTAAGTTTCTAAAATTAAAATTAAAATTAGAAAATAATGCACACTAAATTAGCTGAATATAAAAGTTTATGGTTTTATTACTTATTTTTTAAATGCCCTTCCAAATTCATATATGAAAAAACTATGAAATTCAATTAAATTTTTATCAAATGAACTATTCGATTTGGGCCCATGGGCTTGGCCTACTTTTCGATCATTGTTTATTTCTGCCCGAGCCCACTTACATGGGCCCAATATATGTATATATTGGTTTTTTTACAATTT